GGCAAACTTTAAATTTAGGATTGCAACAAATTAAACAAATTTAATAGTCCTGTATTAATGTCTCAAAGCCAGCAATGACCGTCAACTACATCTCCCATAATGCATGTTGATGATGAGTGGGTATTCTCTGTCAGAAAGAGGAAGAGTTCAGAATTCAACACTCACCACAACTCAACAGTGAGTAAACCTCTTACTTTTACTTTTAATAGTATTTCTGTTTTATTTATTTCACATTTAGTCAGCTTTACACATTTACAGTGTTTATAACGTTTTAGAACACTGTTTCTATGCAGGAGATACCAGGAAGAGCTCAAATATTGTTCTTAACGAGATGAGACGGRGGAGGAGGAGCGTGTTGTTATATTTTTGAAAAGAGTAGGAAATGTGTGACAACTAACCATCCCAGACCCTAAATTTAACTTCTATCAGCCCATCCCCGACCTCAGAACCTAAAATTAACCATAAACCCTSATATTAACCACAGACCCCCAACACAAAGACCCACATGTGGGGCAACCTGGACAATGTGTGGGCGGTAGTGACTGAGGTGAGGGGGGTGCCCGACACGTCAACACTGGACACAGACGATACCTGACCAACAGTCAATAACAAGTCAGGAGAGAGAACGAGTTCAATCAGCTCTGAGCTCACTGTGATGAGGATTAAAACTTAAAATCATAAAAAGTAAAAAATGTGAAAGATGTATCATATTTATAGGATTTTATTCACAAAGTATTTAAATTTATTCTGTTTTTATTCCTCAGTAGTTCTTTTGCATAACTCAGTTTTTTTCATATAATTCTGTTTGTGATGAATAAATTAAAATAAGTTGATTCAAAAACAAAACTAACAAAACCAGTTTAGTTGACTTTTAGTTTTAAAGTTTTAGTTCCATTTGTACAGTAATCAGATTGTTTTTGTTATATTTGTATTTGTTTCAGAAAATAAAGTATTTGTATATGTTAGATGTTTTTTTCTGATTTGTTGGAAGTTTTTTCTTTTTTGTAAGTTTATAAAATACAAACTAAACTTCAAAAAGTCCTCTGACTCTGACTCCTCACTAAATGTTCATAAAACCGTAAACTGATGGAGGTTTAGTTGTAAAATAATCCCAGAAAGACAAGTAGTTTAAAATAAGAATTAAAATTTTAAATATTATTGTTGCTTTTCTTTTTGAAACAGCATTTCCTCTGATAAGTTTGACAAAGTTATAATATTTCATCTAAAAATGAAATAAATGTTTGTTGATTTCTGGTAAAATGATCAGTTTTCCAGTCTTTGTGTTGAAACGTTTGACATGAAAAGAGCAGCTCAAACCGTTAAAACAAAGCAGACCACACATCAGCACGGTGCTGCTGAGGAGAACATGCCGGCCCACTTTACCTGACCCTCAGCAGGGCCACTGACCTCGTGACCTTTGACCTGAGGAAGTGAAAGCTGTGGCGACATGACGGGGCCGTGTGAGAAGCCGAGGCCGTTCCCCGTCATTTTAGCACCAAACTTTCAAACCAAGCTGATAAGAAAAAGAAGCGAAGCAGAAATATTTAAATCTGTCACTGACTGAGCTCCATCAGTTTCTCTGCTCCGCTGCTCAAACTGAAGGCAACCACTTTAAAACGTCATGCGTCCAATCATTCGTGGGATATTTTACTAACAGACTGGCAGAACTGATAGCTGTAGCCGGTGGGGCGGCTGTAGCAGAGCAGTTGGGGGAGTCGTCTTGTAATTGGTGGGTTGCCAGTTTGATCCCCTGTTCCAGCCATTCACCCGCTATGAAACTGTCTCTACAAGCTGGAGACGTCCAGTGATTGATGAGTACACAGCCTCATCAGTGTGTGTGTGTGTGTGTGTGTGTGTGTGTGTGTGTGTGTGTGTGTGTGTGTGTGTGTGTG